CTATTATTGAATATGAAAAATAATTCGGATATAACGCATCAAAGTTATGCTTTCACATATACATACACTTACGAACAAAAGTTAAGAATCTTTACGGATCGTTAACATTTGCGTAAAATTTGATATGTTAATAAATCTAAATTATTGAATTAAAAGTACGTATTATATCGAAACATAATTAATGTTGCAGTATTATTTTATTTAGTGCGTGTGATAAATACANCTATTATTGAATATGAAAAATAATTCGGATATAACGCATCAAAGTTATGCTTTCACATATACATACACTTACGAACAAAAGTTAAGAATCTTTACGGATCGTTAACATTTGCGTAAAATTTGATATGTTAATAAATCTAAATTATTGAATTAAAAGTACGTATTATATCGAAACATAATTAATGTTGCAGTATTATTTTATTTAGTGCGTGTGATAAATACAAACAATAATGATAAAATTTTAAAAATGATTTTTGTATCAAGAAATAAAAAATACAAAAATAAAATATTAATAAGCAATAAATAAAAACATGTGTAACATGTTTCTTAACCTTTGTTGGTAATTGTAATTAGAAGAAACAATTGTTTTACGATATTATCGCCGAATTATAGTGACGATCAGTGACAATTCTCCCGGAGTTTCGAGCACGCGGGAAAGCCAATTCCGGACGGAACACGTTTGCGTCAATTCAGCAGATTTTCTTGTTTTTCTACAATTCCACGGGTCTTTTTTTCTCTCGCCCGAGCAGCTCGGGTGAAAAGAGATGGATCCACGCGGGCATTCCCCGATGCTAAAACAACGTTCCTAGAATCAAATAAATCGCACTCACCCACGTGGAAAGCAACGAGGTGTCGTAATTCAGGATCGACTCCCAGTCGAGACCGTCTTGATACGTCCTGGTATCCGAGCTTTTGGAGAAATTGGTCCTGTATCTCGAGCGGTTTCTCGTGCGAAGCCAATCTCCTCCCGGCCTCGCCGCCATACTGAAAAAAAACATCGTAATCTCTTAATGGATCTTGTTAACGCTTTAGCCGCGGGTACCGTCTAGCGTAGTGATAAACGAAATAATGCCGCGTACTAAAAAAAAATAACTCTTGAAGTGTCGTCAATTAACACTTTCGCAGTTGATGCTTTTTCGTTTGTTTAACACTAAAATCGGAAAAATTTGCCAAATGCATAGTTAGTTGTTGTTAGATTTTGTGCATTTAGAACAAGAATCTGTGAAAATATCGGAGGATGTTAAGAATATATGTTTATATTATTTATAACTTATTAAATTATTATGTAGTAGCTATGTAAATTATGTAATGACGTATATTTGTAACAAATAATCATATTATATATTTATATATATATTTTTTAATATACGTTATTACATAACTTACATAGCTACTACATAATAATTTAATAAATTACAAATAATATGATTTGTAACATCATTAACATTTGTAATCTCTTAATATCCTTTGATATTTTCACAGATTCGTTTGATATAATATATTACGAAACCAAATGAATATTACACATGTGTGTACATAGTTTTAAATAAAATAAATTTGTCTAGAAAAATATGTACATATTTCTAAACCAAATGAATGTTATAAAAATATGTACATATTTGTAAATCAAATAAATATGTATATGTTTATAAACTAAATAAATTTGTATAATATATACAAATATGTAGATATTAATAAACCAAATAAATATTATACACATACGTACAAATTTCTAAACCAAATAAATATTATACACGCGTGCATGTATTTCTAAACCAGATAAATATTACACATATATGTACATATTTCCATGTGTATAAATAACAACAAAGTAGCAATCGCGTAACTTCAATAATAAATATTTAAACATAATAAAACGAAGTTCTTCCGCACGAAAGTCGTACGAAATCGAAGTCGCGGGTCCGTCCGGACCCGACTAATAAAGTCGAACGGAGAAGGGAAGTTGGCGGTCACGTTTTAATCCGCGTTTTGAGATGTAAAAATATTCGAACGATGAAAGAATGGCGCGAGTTGCCAGAAGCTTTTACCAGGGAAGTGAGAAAAGTCCGTTCCCAAAGAGTAAAATCGAACGCATGGAAATTCGCTGAGATCGAAGATGGAGGATAGGTGTTTCAAAAAAAAAGAAAAAAAAGAAAAGGAACGAATTCGCGTCGCTACGTGATGCTGGAAGCTCAAAGTTTCCCGTACTCTGGCTGATTGCACCTAAAAAGGGTGTTTGACCAAACTACGACTTTTTCCGTGAAACTTTTCGATTGACGTGACGCTGAAAGCTCTACTTGACGATCCGCGTGGGCGGCTTCTTATGGGAGACCTGTCTTACACCGAGGCTGGATCTTAAACTTTTGAAACTCACCGAGCCCGAGGACACTGCGAACTCGAAGGACAGTTTTATGGTCGGCAATATTAAAATTCCGCCGGCCGGAGAACGAAAATGCTGCGAGCACGATCGAGAGCTGTGATCGGTTCTGTTTGACAGCCACTTCGAGTAGTAGTAACATATTCAAGTTACGCAAACCGATTTGCAAAGCCTTATGAAGGGTTTTTTTCACAAGGGCCAATAATAATATCGATATTGTATCGCTTTTTCTCGACAAACTAAGATGTGATCGAGATTCCACACGAGATCGAGGCGAGAATATAAACAACACTAGATAATATACTCGATATTCTGCAACAATCTTGGATTTGTTTTCTTTAGAATTTTCAATATGATTCAAATACTGTTAAATACAATACTTCACTTATCTCAATTAATTGAACCAATTCGAATTTTCTAAAAATTGTTATTTACTTTAAAAATGTAGTTTCATTTTAGGACATAAAACATTTTCGAGTTTTCAAACTGTATTGAATGCGGTATTCATGCAGCGTTTGAGAACGATAAAATTTTTAGTCGAAGAATTGGTTTTTATTTGGAGCAATTATTTAAAAATATCAGAACATTTTCACGATCGTTTAGAGTGATAAAAATAAAAAAAAAGACAAACGAGCCGGACGTAATCGCATCGTGACGTTATTGGATGACACAAATAATCTGCTTATTGGTACAGAAATGGGTCTCGCGGCGCTTGTTAAAAATGTATATCCGGAATTATTAAAAATAATCGGTCGCGGGCGAACGGGCGAGTTTACACCGTCCCGCACACACATTCCGACCGCCCTAATTAAAATATCTTGTTTCTGTTTCAAACGAATAACCGTATGGTTCACGCGACTTTTTTCGATTCAGGTATTTCCGCATTAATACCTAGTGTGACGCGCGTGCTGATACGCGAACTCATGGATTGCATTATAATTGCGAACTGTATAGAGTGTTTATTTCGTTAGCGACCACTAGACTGCGGGTTTTTATGCAAATTCTAATTTTCATAGGTTGTTTCATACAAATCAGAATAAAGGAAACATTCTGTCAACGAATAGAACGTTTCTTCCAACCAAAATATAATTAATGAAAGATGTTATTTTTAGTTAGTGTACAAGTTTGTCTATGCTTTAAAAATCTCTCTCTCTCTTGTATAACTCTTTAATTCTCCAATCTAGTATAATTCTTCAATTCTCTTCAATTCATTAATTCTTCAATCTAGTACAATTCTCCAATTCTTGTACCTCTATCTTTTCTCAAGGTTTAGTCCAATGTTTATCTCAAATATATAATTCTACATATTACAAATATACAATCTACAAAGTTAATTTCATATCGAGACGTAATGGAGTAAGAACAACATTAAAAAAATTCTTTAACAGATGTTCGTTGCAAACACTTTAATTATTCACTTTGCAAACATATTTTGACAGGCTTAGACGAAGAACGTAAGAACAAAGTAAAAATTTCGAAGATCAGCTTCGTACTAGAGCATTGATACGCGCGCAACTATATTTTATTTTAACATTTGAAGATTCTAACAACTATTTTTATTAAAATCTAACTGTCTATTTTAATTCAATCTGTATTGAATTACATAACGTGTTTAACTTTTACGTGTGTTGTTTGAACATGTTTGAAGGGAGTATGTAGAAAAAAAATTTCATATTTTCAGTTTAACTTTGATTCAATAAATAAAAGCTAAGATGATACAATTGCCAGAATATGTATCATACGATTTATTATTAGTAGACTATGGATTTTATGGACATTCTATTATAAAAATGAATAGATAGCATTTAAAACAGTAGAAAGATTAACAAACTTTGGGAGTTTATATTATTTTCAACTCATTAAAATTATTAAAGAAAATAATTTTTTGTTCGGTTCTTGTAATAGTATTGTAAATAAATGTTCACTTTCCATAAACATTCGCAGTTTAATTATTAGTACTAATTTTAAAGAATTTTTTAATAGTATCCGAATTACTATCGATTATGGATACGTTTATTTATCTGTTTAGCAGAGCTTCCACTTAGATCTTCAATTACGCCGTACATTGAATGCAACAAGGACAATTGCTTGTCTTCAAGGAGCATGCCCGTTTATGGTAATCTGGGAATGCGACTAGCCAAGCTTCGCCCAACAACGATAATGGTTCTAAAGAAAGTTACGCACAATTGTTGAACTTACGAGGATGGTAGGTCTGCATCTGTGTCATGGCAATATCGCTGCAGTTTTTCTGCACATATTACAGACATATTCACTCAGACATTTTTCCGAGGAATGCAGTCACATTTATTTTACTAGATCATGCACGAAATTCGGAAATATTGTGGTAAAGTTGCAAAAATGCACCACGGTAAAATTTTAAAATACAATAATATTTATATCTTACTTTTAACATTAAAGATTTTACAATTAACAAAATGGTTCCCTTATCTTGATTTTTATAAAATAATTTAATAATAATAATCATAATACTGTCAGTAGTAGGAAGTAACAATATTACCTTTACGATCCTCTCTTGTATCACAGTTTCTTAACTTTATCATAATATTCCTTAACATGAACTCAATTTTCTAACTTTAATACAATATCGATTTTTCAGTTTCTTTATGTAATTTGTGATAGTAATACAAGTTATAGAACAATGCCGTTATTTAATGGAAAACATGATGAAAATGTGCTGTTTATTATTAATACTTACACTTGAAAAATTTATTATCAATACGTACACTTCACAAGATTGTCTTGATTGGCATGCTTGAAGTGATCGAAGTTTTGCAATTTGGTATGCAATGACAAATGGTGCTCCAAATGAAATTTGAAACTATTTAAATTTTAGACAATTACGAAACTATTGGCAATTTCTTTTTAATTATTTGGTTTAACTATATTTCATCTTAATCACAAATTTATTTATTTTATCTTTACTTACAAATTTTCGATAAAATGCAAAATCGTAAAAACAGCAACGTTGCCTATATGTATCTATTATTCAATACAGTTGCTTGATCAAATGCGATGCACCGCAAACAATTTCTCCTTTATCTTTCAACCGAGCCAGAATTTAATTCTTCCTCAGTGAATATAAATCGCGGCATTGAAGAAGTACTGCATCTGTTTATTTACGTAACATTTCAAAGAGGCGAACTGTATATCAGATATTGTGCCGCTGTTTTCCTCGATCTTACAATGCAGATACATGTTTCATTAAAAAGTCTGATACTTTTGTTAGTATTTTCATCGTGCACACAACAACACAACTACGTTTCGTTTCCTGCCGCTTCATTATCAAGACGTTCCCTGTCGCTTTATACGTTTCAAAGAGGATGATGCACGGCATTTCTTTTGTTCAGAACCGTTGACATTTGACTCGGTCGTCGTAGTCGGAGAATGCGGGATACACAAGAGCCATAAACTTAACTGTGTCGCAGTTTGATTCTGTTTTGGTAAGCAGTTTATTCCTCGTAAATCCTTGAAATCATATCTCAGACGTATTCACAATTAATTTTGTCTGTTTGAAAATTAACTTTTTGCACTCGGAGCAATTTTAACTATAAATCTAGAATATTTTATATGACCATCAGCATTTAAA